GCGGATTTCCTCTGATCGGGAGGAATCCGCTTCGTGGAAATTAGGGTCCTGACCGCCACAGCGAGGCGGATACCCATTAAAAACCACAGGCGGGAGAAGCCTGTGGACGTGGGATTCGGCTGGCACCTTTTGCGCCTCCCCTACTCGCGGGGAAACCTGGTTTCGGGGATCCGGAGCGACGTGGGGTGAGCGCCGCGGTGCTTCGAATCGACTGCTTTTTTCACGGAGTGAAGCCGCATTGCTGTTGCCGGAGAGCGCTGACTTTTTCCTGTGGACAATTGGACTTTAAACAAGTACCCGTGAGTAGAACGGAAAATTGGATTATTAAACTTCGTAATTTGGCACCGAAGCGGGAAGGTCTAAACAGGAAGTCCGCCTTCCGCTTTTGTAAATAGTTTGAAGCAAAGACATCGCAAGCTAAAGTCTGAAAAGTTTTTTGTAAAGGACTAAATTTCCATCGGCTAAAATTACTAAACCCCCCTTGGAAGCAGGAGAAGAGGGGGGAAATCTTAGATTTTTCAAGCCTGCAGGAGAGAGAGTAAAGAAATATATATTTCTACTGTCTTGAACCTGGGAACGGGCTGTCAAGAAGACAGACGTTTTGGGAAAGTTCATTGACAGTGAATGAAACGTATGTTGACAGATAGTTAAAAAAGAGAAACATATTGATTCCAATGTTTCCTTTTGCACTTAAAAGGAACAAAATATTTGAAAAATGAAAGTAATTTTGTTGCCGGATCTGCTTTCAAAAGGACGGATACAAATAGAAATTGTTTCCTCTAGAGGGAGCTTTTGAAACTGCTGTTGGAGTGGACCTGGGGAACTCCCCAGCTGTAGAGATTAAAGATCGTGAGAACTAGACATTGACCTTGGACAAGAATGTGGGCGGAGGAAGCCTTAGTCTCTGCTTTTTGCAGGACAAGTGCTTTGTTGGAGCAGCTTCATAAGAAGATGGATTTGATGACTACTGCAACTGAAAATTTTGGACAAACATTGAATACCTATATAGAAACCTCTCAGGAACCGACCCAGGAATCTGCTTTGATAGGGCAAGCTGCGGAGAAGATAAAGGAGGAGGTCGTTGTTGAACCTCAAGTAATGCAAGTGGAGAGAGCAGGAACATAAGCTGTTGTGCAGGAACATAAGCTGTTGTTTCTGATGCCCGAATCTGGAGTGGGCCAGATTTGGAGAGATGGAGTCCCATTTGGACTGGAGATGGGAAGTTGGATAGATTCCCCTATGGAGGGATGTTCTGACTTCTGGGATTTGGTTCTGGGCCAGGGGGAGACTGGAGTTGTGGGGGCCTTTAACTTTGGAGGGACATTGAAGCATGCCTTGAAATATCTTTTGAATTTTAGTGCTGACCATGGAGAATGGGACGACCTGCCGAGAAGGGATAAAGACATTGTTAGGTTGGAGTCCCCCTGAGATCTACTCCTCTGTGGCAAAGGAAGGAAATTAAGAACAAGATCAGCAAAAGACAAAGTAAAGTGTAGGTATAAATATAAAGAAGATCTTCAGAAGGGACATGGAAAAGAGCTAAGAGCCTTGGACAGAAGATCACCAGGTTGATGGACTAGATGGAATTGACAGAAAGGACTGACAGAACCCGAGACCAGGAAGATGAGACGGTGGATGAAGATTGGAAGAAAGTTTAAAAACTCATTTAGAGAAATAATGTAAATTTAATGACTGTTAGAAAAATGTTGGAATGAAACTATTTGGCTTTAGTAGAAATGCTATAAGGAGTTATGTACAAATAAGTTTTAAGTCTTAGGGCTTTTTAGGGTAAGAAAAAGTTAAAATAAATTAAGACAATTAAATGGCAGAATATGGTGAAAGATGGAAAGGATTTGCTGAGATAATTAATAATTAGAATACAAAAAAGGAAGGTGTGAGGAGGTCGATGAAACAAGTTAATGAAAGATAAAGATATGGGAATATTGGATTTGTTTTTAATTCTTTTTTTTCTTTTCTTTTTGTTTTGATGTATTGTGTGTTTTGTATTTTTTTTATTTTTTGTTGACTTGTATTGTTTAATTTCTTTTTTCTCTCTCTTCTTTTTCTGTTTTTCTGTAAATTTTAAATTCTTAATAAATATATATATTTTTTTTTAAAAAAGGAAAGGATTGGACCCTGATTAATAAAATACACACGAGGCTTGGCCAGCAAGACTCTGGGAGGAAGTGCCAATAATATAATCTGCCACACCCTGGCCCAGGTCCTTTTTATTAACAAAAGAACTCTTAACACAGTTATTGTAAGAACCAATCAGATTTCCTCTGAACATTTCAAAAAAAACCCCACGTGGGACAAAGTCAGATCAGAGAAATCCTTTTAACTACAAAGAAACTATTTCCTACTTGAGCATGCATACGTGGTTAAGCTAAACAAACAGGAACCAAGGAGGAATGCATTTAGGAAACCCAGAGGTCATAAACCCATCGGAAAGAAAGACAGTATTTACCATCTCCTTGTGAACTCTCTTCCTGGCCCTTAAGATCGACCTAAAGATTAACAAAATCTACATCAAAGCTACTTTCTGTCTTTATGTACTGAGGATGCCTGGTGAAGCAACTGGTTTTAGCAGCCTATACATGACTGTCAGGCAGTGAGAAAATGGCAGAGGTGCAGAGGCTTGTGGGATTCGATCAGAAATCATGTCAAATGGCTCAAGCCCAGTCAAAGCAATGCGTTCATTGCTGACACAATGGCTTGCTACATTTCCCATAATTCCTCATAGCAATCCCACCTGACCACCACAATTAACTGCTGGAGTCATGTTGTGTGGGGGAGAGACACCGCATCCTGACACTTTCATCAAGGTGCCTCGTGAGTAAGCTTAGTAGCCATGGAATAAGAGAAGAGGTCCTCTTGTGGATCAGGAATGGAAGTTGCAGGAAGCAGAAAATAGTATTAAGTGGATAGTCCTCCAAATGGGGGGCTGTGGTGCCAGATGTTCTTGACCAAAAGCTCGCAAGAACAATCTGGCCACATCATTTTGCACCAACTAGAGATTCTGGACCAGACCCAAGGACAGCCCCAGAAAGAGTGCATTGCAGCAGTCCAGCTCCAAGTTTTCCAGTGCTCCAGTGGTCAGGCTATTCCTGTTCACAAATAGCCCTAGAGGACACGTGGGTCTCTAGTGACAAAGGCGTATACAAGAGTACCCCCAAACTATGCAAGCGGAGGGGCTGCTTCCGTCTCCCTCTCTCTCTTGCAAGAGCTGCCTGGGGGTGAGTCTCGCCTCCCTCTCCCTCCGGGGGCAATGGGGAGAAGGGGCTGCAGGGGAGGATGCCTGGGGGGCTGGTCAGATCATGCCTGGGGGGCGCCAAACCGGGGGGGGCAGACATTCCCCGCCAAGCCAGGGGGGCTCTGCCCCGCTCTTCTTGCTTGGCCCCGTGGGGGAGGGGGGAGGGGGTCTTGGAGGGAGGAGCCTGCAGAGAGAGCCCTGGAGTCTCGATCAAGAGCGGAGGAGGAGGAGGAGGAGGAAGGGTCTTCTTCCTCTTGGCCAGCATCGCTACTGTCTCTTTTCTCCAAGCAGAAACTGCTACATTTTCAGCAGGGCGATTACAGCGAGATCTCTTATGGCTGGATCGCTTTTCTAACGTAGCTCAGCTTTTTCTTTCTTTAATCAGTTTGGTCGTTTATACTGGTGTACTTTGTATACCAAACTATATAATAAACTATATCTGGTCTAGGGAACAAATAACCCAGAGATGCATTTTCAATAAAGGTTCTTAACCTGAGATACTATTTCTGGGTTAGCGGAGTCTGTAAGCTGAAGCGTATGTAAGCTGAGGTACCACTGTATTTAAAATGCATCTCTGGGTTATTTGTGGGGCATAGGAATTTTTCTTTCTTTCTTCAAAATATAGCCCGGCCCACCACTTGGTCTGAGGGACGGTGGACCGGCCCATGGCTGGAAAAGGTTGCTGACCCCTGGTCTATAGCTCTCCTTCTGGAGCCAGAGAGAATAGTCACTTTCAAGGGCACCATTTAAGATGTAGAGGTTTAGCTTGAATGCTGTTTGAGCCAAGCAGATGCCTGCAAAGTTTGATTTCTGATCTTTTGAACAACGGGTGAGGAGGAATCCACTGGCTTAACTTCCAAATCTAACTTCCAAAGCCTGTCCCATTCCGTCATTCATATATTATGTCCCACATCCTTCGCCCATTTTATCATAATGCAATTTACCTGGTCCTCTTTAGTGTCCCATTCCAAAAGCATATCGTTCATTTTTGACAGCAGTTTTGTACTACCTTCTACTATTTCTCTCTGAAATCTTGGCACTTGATAACTAAATCCTTTCTTTTTATGATTTTTTAAAGTTTCATTTAGTTGTAAATATTGTTACCAGTCTATTACATTTTCTCTTACTTCTTATTATGACTATGAAAACTTTTATGAACTTTTGCCTTATGATACCATAGATAAGCATGCCTGGCGTTGCAGTCTTCAGGCTTGGGGACAAGATGGTGCCTGGATTTTGCACCAAGTTCTGTCCATAAGCCCCACTGAGTTCAATGGGATCTATTCTCAGGTCACGACTGTGCAGACCATGCCGGCCTTACGAAATGGGGAGAGGAATAAACAGAGGAAATTGGAACCACTGGAAATGTTTATAAATGGGGTTTCTGTTGGGAAGGGGCTGCCCCATTTGTGCTTTTCCAGGGGAGGAGAATCCAGTGAGAGCCAGTGTGGCGCAGTGGTTAAGAGCGGTAGACTCGTAATCTGGTGAACCGGGTTCGCATCTCCGCTCCTCCACATGCAGCTGCTGGGTGACCTTGGGCTAGTCACACTTCTCTGAAGTATCTCAGCCCCACTCACCTCACAGAGTGTTTGTTGTGGGGGAGGAAGGGAAAGGAGAATGTTAGCCGCTTTGAGACTCCTTTATGTAGTGATAAAGCGGGATATCAAATCCAAACGCTTCATCTTCTTCTCTTCTTCTTCCCTGCAGGGCCTTTGAGGCTCCCTTTGCTTCTTCCTCTCTACCAGGACCCTGCAGCTTGTTTTGGCTCCTTGACTCTTCAGGAAGGATGAAAGAGATGGATCCTGCAAAGCTAGCGGGGATGGAAGGGGGAAGATGGACGGTTGACCTGGTCAGGTTGTCTCCTGCATCCCTCCTCACAGCCTCTGAGCGTTCCTCTCTAGGGCTCTCAGAGAGATCTGGTGAGTTCCAGGGGAGGGGAGATGGGGACATGGAGGGATGGAGCCAGAGAAGTATTGGGGCTTGCTCACCCTGGGGGTGGGGGGAGGCAGACAGGCGGGTGGAGATTGAGAAGGTGAGCACCTTTCTGGGCTCCACCTCCTGCCTGCCTGCGCCTTTGTCGTCTGCAGGGAATTTGAGCTAGGAATACATCACGGCTCCCCGGCCACCACGATGTATTGGCAGCTCAAAATGTCTAATACCAGTGCCGTGATCTGAATGCCCTACCAGTGTCAAAAACTTACTGCTCCATCACACAGCAGTAGAAGCAATGACTCTTTAAAGTAATGTGATGCTGCTTTGCAGTTTGAATGCAGAAAGGGCCCTTTGTGTGTCGCCCTTTTCTTTTTGGAATAACTTTTTATTTGCTTTTATAAACAAGGAATATGTGAATAATAAATGACACAAACATGTAGACCAGGTCGTCTCATGTCATTTGTATATCTCAAAACTAGCAGAATAAATTTGCAGGAATGTCTGTAACATATGGTTCATCATTAATGGTCAGTGTATGAGTTCTGGGTTCATGAATTGGTTTAAACTGGAACACAAAAACGGGAAGCAGGAGAGAACAGAGAGCATTCAACACCACATAGCTGGTTGTCTATTCAGGAGCTCTTGTGGTTGTTGTACTTAGATTAAGATTAAGGAGAGCCAGTGTGGCGCAGTGGTTAAGAGCGGTGGACTCGTAATCTGGTGAACCGGGTTCGCATGTCTGCTCCTCCACATGCAGCTGCTATTAATGTTAGTTTCTGAGGTAAAACGTGTCATTTTACAACTGTGCACCTGTCTTTCTGGAATATTCGTGGTTTTCTGGATTTTGTGGGACTCAAACCCATCATTTTCTGTGGTATTTATATGTGTGGAGATTACCCCGGGTTGTTTGACCCTTGAAAAACATAGCTTTTTTTTTCTCCTAGAAAAGACTCCACAAGGTTCTCTGTTGAGAGTTTAAACAGAACACATTACATTACTTGATATACTAAAAGACGTTTACATGTGCTTATATCTAATATATCTATATCTATATATATTCTTTATTGATTTAGATTATTTCTACATTTATCCCATTCGTTATTCTAGATAATAAGCTACACTCAAAAAACCAAAATAATTCAACATCAAATAATACTGCTACATGAGGTATGAAGAGTGAATTAAAAGTGCTTCTATATATTTGGGACTTTACACAATTTTTCTGAGGCCCATAGCAGCATAAAACAAGCAGCAGGTGCTCTCATGGAAAATCTCTCTCTCACTCAGCAGTTGAGAACAGACCTAACTGAAAAAACGGCCTTCTGGAGTGACAGTCACCCTTTCCGTAGCGACTTGGAGGCAACATTCACACACAGAGTTGCTAGGGAACGTGAGGTAATTTCTGTCAGGTTTGGGTTTCTGTTTTAGCCTCTGCCCAATTTTTAAAGAGAAGACCAATGTTAGAGTTGGAGTGGATTTCATGATTGTGGCAACAAAAATCCGTCCTAGAAAAGAGCCAGAATTTCTGAACCTCTGGTTCTCAAAAATATGTCTGTGAATGCTGGTCGACAAAGGCCATGACCTCTGTAGAAAGACCTCACATCTTCTGTTCTTCCTCTTTCACAAATGTTCCTTAGCATTGTTCAATAATTGGGGGCTCCATTTCTTCCTGAGGATCTAATTAGTTTCTGTCTTTGTTGTAGGTGGTGATGAATTGGAAATCAATTATGGGGGAGACCATGACAAAATCCACACAGTGGAGAAGCCATATCAAAATTGGGAGTATGGAGAGAGCTCCAGTCAGAGTTCCCGTTCCCACCAAAGAACTCACAGTGGGAAGAAAGGCTATCAGTGCTCAGAATGTGGGAAGAGCTTCAGTCGGACAATCTCACTTCTCATCACAGAATTCATACAGGAGAGAAACCCCATCAGTGCTTGGAATGTGGAAAGAGGTTTCGTCAGAGTGGGGCTCTCACTTTCCACAAAAGAATTCATACTGGAGAGAAACCCTACCAGTGCTTGGAATGTGGAAAGAGCTTCAGTCGGAGCACCCATCTCATGTCCCATCAAAGAATTCATACAGGGGAGAAACCCTATCAGTGCTTGGAATGTGGAAAGAGCTTCAGTCAGAGGAGCAGTCTTGCTTCCCATCAAAGAATTCATACAGGGGTGAAACCCCATCAGTGCTTGGAATGTGGAAAGCGCTTCAGTCAGAGGCAGAGTCTCACTTCCCATGAAAGAATTCATACTGGAGAGAAACCCTATCAGTGCTTGGAATGTGGAAAGAGCTTCAGAAAGAGGGCAGGTCTCATTTACCATCAAAGAACTCATACAGGGACACCTCAGGTTAAGAACTTAATTCGTTATGGAGGTCCATTCTTAACCTGAAACTGTTCTTAACCTGAAGCACCACTTTAGCTAACGGGGCCTCACGCTGCTGCCTCGCAATTTCTGTTCTCACCCTGAAGCAAAGTTCTTAACTCGTGGTATTATTTCTGGGTTAGCGGTGTGTGTAACCTGAAGCATCTGTAACCTGAAGCACCACTGTACTGAAGCATATTAGAAATGTGGAAACAGCTTCTCTTCCAAGAGGCGTCTAGCTTCCCTTGAAGAAATTCATGTGATTGAGCAGGTGGTTGCTGAAGAACTTCAGGCATGCCTGGAGGATGGGGACCATTTGGATCCATTCCAATCGGGAATCAGGCCTCATATTGGGACTGAAATGACTTGGTTGTGCTGGTCCATGATCTCCGGCGCTCTAGGGACAACTGTGAAAGCTGTTTCCTGGTTCTGCTGGAGCTCTCAGTGGCCTTTGATACCATTGACCACGACATCCTTTTGGACTGTCTAGAGGAGCTGGGAGCTGAGGGTTATACAGTGCTTCCACTCCTTCCTCCTGGGCCGTGTTCAGAAAGTGGTGGTGGGGGATCAGTGTTCAGACCCCTGGGCTCTCACTTGTGGGGTGCCTCAGGGTTCCATCCTCTCCCCCATGCTTTTTAACATGTACATGAAGCTGCTGGGAGAGATCATCAGGGGGTTTGGGCTGGGTGTTCATCAGTATGCGGATGATACTTTTAAATCGGAACCAGTGAAAGTGCTGAAGGTCCTGTGTGAGTGTCTGGAGGCGGTTGGAGGATGGATGGCAGGTAACTGATTGTGGTTGAATCCTGACAAGACAGAAGTGCTGTTCTTGGGTGACAGGGGGCGGGCTGGTGTTGAGAACTTGCTTGGGCTACTGCAACACATTCTATGTGGGGCTCCCTTTGAAGGTGACCTGGAAACTACAACTAATCCAGAATGCAGCAGCTAGATTGGTGACTGGGACTAGCTGCTGAGACCACATAACACCGGTTCTGAAAGACCTACATTGGCTCCCAGTACGTTTCTGGACACAATTCAAAGTATTGGTGCTTACCTTTAAAGCCCTTAACAGCCTAGGCCCAGTATACCTGAAGGAGTGTCTCCACCCCCATCCTTCTGTCTGGACACTGAGGTCCAACTCCCAGGGTCTTCTGCTGGCTCCCTGCAGGAAGTGAAGTTACAGGGCATTCTCTGTAGTGAAGTTACAGGGCATTCTCTGTAGTTTCACCCGCCCTGTGGAATGCCCTCCTACCAGATGTCAAAGAAATAAACAACTATCTGACTTTGAGAAGACATCTCAAGGGAGCCCTGGTTAGGGAAGCTTTTAATATGTGATGAATTATTGTATTTTAATATTTTGCTGGAAGCCACCAAGAGTGGTTGGAGAAACTCAGCCAGACGGACGGGGTATAAATCAATTATTGTTATTGTTTTAAGGACTTTCCCATGCAATATGGGAATCCACATCCATCTGAAGTTCAGGAGCAGTTGGACAATCCCCAGATTCTGGGGATCTACTTTTCTGGCCATCTGGTAGAAAAAAGGGGAACTGGGTTTTATCATGAAGAGTCGGAACAGTATATCCATAACTTGCCCAGGATGCAAAGGGAGAGGTGAGCGCTTTGCTGTCGTTCCAGGACAAATCTCAGACAGTTGACCAACTACAGTCCCACACACAAAGAACACAAAGAACAAGACAAAATGCTGACCGTGTAGAATGGGAGGAGGTCTTCCAGGAATGCCTCCAGACTCTCAATATTTTGTGGGACTGAATCACATCCCAGAATATTAGACTAGGAACTCGGCTACATTACTCAAAAAACTGTGTTTTGAATGCATTGTAAAAAAGCAACATGGTTTTTAAAAGCAGTGGTGGGGTGGCATAGGGCATCTGACACCAGTGTTGAGTGCTCCTGCTTCCAGGTTCCATCCCACCCTCACCTTTGGAAGAGTCCAAAAAGGAAAGAATGAAAAGCCCATGGCAGAAGCACAATTCCGTCTTAACACCAAACCAGCCATACCTGTGGGATTTTGTAGATGCTTGACACAGGTGACATATGTCTAGAAATATCAGCTTCTGCATCTTCAAGAACAGCCAACAGGTTATTCCTCTTCTGACAGTCATAGTTTGGAATGTCTGCGTGCCCAGTAGAGAGCAGGTCTAGCAGGGCATCAGAAGTCCTCCTTGCATTAGAATAGTGGTCATAGATGACATAGCCAAGGGTGATGTTGGGTAAGAGCCTGGGGTCCTGATTGATTTCACAAATGGCAGCCAGGAAGGACAGGACATTGCAGAATTTCCCATGATAGCCACTGGAATGAAAAAGTGCCCTACATTGAATGAAAACGTTTCTAATTCTTTCTGCATCTAAACTCTCAGCTGTTTCCAGCACAGAAAATAAAACGGGTCCACCCTGAAATGCTTAAATACCTTCCATTAGCGACCTGTGGGAGAGAGCAAAGGCCCATCAGCCTCACTGAAGGTGGACTGACACCATAGTGAAACTGACCACAACTTTCACCATCATGAACATTTCATGAGATTGCGTTTCAGCTGTGTTTACAGTCAGCTGCATTATTTACCCCCTTGTAGGTTTGGATTTTTAAATGCCACTTTCCACAATCATAACATTCTCAGTTGCAGCATACTCATGTTCAGTCAGGACTTCAGCATCAGCTGCTGCTGCACCTTCAACTGAGAAGCACCTAAGTTCATGGTCCTGGCCTATGGGGGCAACTGGAACCTATGAAATCAGAGTGTGCCTCCAGACAGTCAATATTTTGCAGAAAGGATTCAAGCAGTTGTTCCCTTACCTTACCTTTCCTGCCCCGCCCTGGCCACAGTTATCCATGCAACGGCCAACTCCAGGCTTGACTACAGTAATTTGTTCTACGCGGGGCTGCCCTTGAAGCTGTTCCAGAAACTCCAGCGGCTGCAGAATGCTTCAGTGAGGCTCCTCACGGGGTCTCTGCCATGGGAGCATATTCACCCAGTGCTTTTCTAGCTGCAGTGGTGCCTAGTGGAGTACAGGGTCAGATTTAAGGTGCTGCTTTTGACCTTTAAAGCCCTTCACGGCCTAGGACCCTCGTACCCAGAGGACCGCCTCTGTATGGCCCACGGAGGACCTTAAGGTCCATAAATAGCAACACCCTAGAGGTCCTGGGCCCTAAGGAAGTTAGATTAGCTTCAACCAGAGCCAGGGCCTTTTCAGCTCTGGCTCCTGCCTGGTGGAACGCTCTGCCTCATGAGACCAGGGCCCCGCAGAATCTGATTTCTTTCCACAGGGTGTGTAAGACAGAGTTGTTCTGCCTGGCCTTTGGCTTGGAGTCAATTTGATTCCCTCCCCCTCTTTCTTTTTCCTTTCTCCTCCTGTGATAAGGCTGCATTTTAAGGTTTTAATGTTTTAATGTTGTATTTTTATCTTGTTTTTAAGTTGTATTCATTCAACTTGTTTTTAATATTGCTTGTTAGCTGCCCTGAGCTATTATTGCTTGTTAGCTGCCAAAAAAGTTGAAAAACATCTTCATGTATGCGACAACGGCCGCAAGAGTTCTGGTAGCACAAGGATGGAAGACTGAAGAAATCCCAACTAAAGAATTATGGCAAGAAAAATTGATGGATTATGCAGAACTGGCAGAACTGACGTATAAGCTACGGGACAAGGATAACTGTGACTTTAAGGATGAATGTGAACCTTTCACAAAGTTTTTGAAGACGCAACAAAGCGAACTGGACTCTTCGGCTGGTTTTGAATAAACATCCACAATTTTTTTTTTATTTTTACTGATAATAATTAGCTAAACAGTTGGAGGATCTATACAGCTCTGTAACATGCAGAAAATAGCATTATTGGAGAAACCAAAGACTGGAACTGAGGGAAGACTGGTGGGGTGGGGTGGGGGGATGGGTTTTGTGGGGGGAGGAAAAATGGGGGCGGAATAAGGATATGTTTTTGGAAAATATGTTTTGTTATAACTTTGAATAAAAAAAATTGATTCCCTCCCCCTCTTTCTTTTTCCTTTCTCCTCCTGTGATGAGGCTGCATTTTAAGGTTTTAAGGTTTTAATGTTGTATTTTAATCTTGTTTTTAAGTTGTATTCATTCAACTTGTTTTTATTATTGCTTGTTAGCTGCCCTGAGCCCAGGATTGGCTGGGGAGGGCGGGGTATAAATAAATTTTTTATTATTATTATTATTATTATTATTATTATTATTATTATTATTATTATTATTATAGAGCACCACAGAATCAAGTAAATCAGGATGAATGCTGAATCAGCAGGGTGTCTGGAGAAGCCTTGAATCAGGTGGAGAGCCTTTTTTTGTTGGTTGACTGATTCATTGACTGAATCAGAAGCAGGATGTTACCTCACGTTCCTCTCAAAAATGGGGTCCATTTTAGTGGACTCAAAGGAGAAATTTGGACAAATCCCTTGAGTTTTCATGAGAAGTAAAGGGAAGGGGAAGTGGGAAGAGTGATGTTGTGTCAGGTGTGGAGAGTTCTCCTCTCCCTTTGGTAACATCACAGATAAGAAGTCCTTTTATTACAGCATCATGTTGCAAGCAGAAATACACAGCTCTCCGCAAGGGGGGCAGTTGGCTGCTCTAAATCCTCCTTCCTCCTTCCGTAGCATTTTAAGTGCCAATGGGAAGTTCGTCCCTCCCACTGACTTCTTTGCTCTCTGATATGTTCAGACCTCCGAGTCTGTGGTGAGGGGGGTTCCACACTCTCAAGTGACATCTCAACTAGCTGCCTCCTCCCTTCAGGTTCTCTTGTCATTATCTCGTACCTGGGCAACTCCTCCCTTAGCTGTTCAGCTCCTGTCTCTCTCTCTGCTTCTGAACATGCTGTGGACTGTCGGACTTGCGTTCGACCAAGCAACTCTTCCGGTCGAGTCTGTGATTAACGACCTGAGCCTTTGATGAGGCTCCAAGCATGTTACCCCATTACGCAGAGCATCCAGCACGCAGGGAAGGAGCCAAG